CCGCCGAGCACAAACACAGCGAACCCAAAACACACACACACACACACACACACACACACACACACACACACACACACACACACACACACACACACACACACACAACAATTTAAACTGCATCCAATTACCCTCCCAGCAAGTCTTTGGCGTCTGGAAGGAAGCACCCAGAGGAAACCCACACAAGCACACGGAGAACATGCAATCTCCATACAGATAATAATGTCCTGACTGTTTATGGAATGAATGCTACATAAAGCCACCCATGTAGCTCAAGCCCTATGTGCCTGCATTCTATGTACACATGTAAGAGGGGACTGTTATTTCTCCCTCAAGGAGCTTACAATCTAAGGTCCCTAGCTCACATGCATACATACACACTAGGGCCAATTTAGAGAGGAGCCACACAAGTACTCAGAGGAAACCCACACAAGCACAGGGTAAACATTGCTGAGGACAAGAACTGTCATTTCTTGGCCTCTGTCTCATCATCCTCAATGCTTTATCAATAAATGGACGCCTGGAAGCAGACTGTGTCTATGAGCTGTCCCGTTGATGTCTCCTATGAAGTACAATAAAGAATTGGGTCTTCTTTTTTCATGTGTGTAGAGGGCAGCAGACGATCTGTAATATTCCTGGAATGTGTCATGTCTGGCCCCCTGAGCTGTGTTGTGCACACATAGCAGAAATAGTGCCCCACTGTCAGCTTATTTCTGACATTCCATTTTGTATTATCTCCAGCCACAAATGGGGAGGATTATGCCGGGGAGTGAACGGGGATGCTTAGCCAACACCCGATCACAGCCCTGTGACTACTGATTGTTTATCGGGATTATCTGCTTCATGTGTTCAAATCTTACACTATCATTCCAAAATGTGCCTTGTTTTACTCCGTTTAAAGTGGACCTGTCACTTATACACAGCGATCTGTCAGATTCCTATCTCCTTTCTTTGGGGTTGGGCAGCTAGAATTTCTGTCAGGGTTTGATTTAATACAATACATTTCTGGGGGCAGTTAGTCAACTGCATATGACAAAGGTTTATATCCACCCATTTATAGGACTGGGACATTTAATCAGATCTCTCAGCAACCAGTCAGCAAAACCAACAAGTCTACTCACTTCTGTCTAGATGAGTTCACAATATACAAAAATAATTTCTCTAAAAGAAAAGAAGGAAGTAAAAATGTCTCAATTACAGAAAGTAGCCTGCACACAAAAATGACTCTTTTAAATACGTTGCTTAAATATATTCAACTTTTAAACACCCCTCCCCCTCCTTCCCACGCGTAAGCTTCTGACTCCAACACCTGAATCTGTAGATTATTATTATCAGACCTTTTAGATGCCTATGGAGGGCTGTCGTTTGGTTAAATACTTCTTATTATAATGTTTGAGTTCTTCTGACAGTTTAATAGGTTTGGCTGTGTAAGGCTTTGTCCACACTTTAGTAGGTGTGACAGCACATCTGTGTGCATGTGCTTTTTTTGTGTGTCCTGTAGAGGACAGCCCATTCATTTTGATGGGCTGCTTTACACGCGACAATCTCACCAAAGAAGCCCCTGCACTTTTTTCAAAAAAACACTGTGCACCAAAATGCATGGTGCTGCAATGTCCATTGGGGTACCATTGATGGCCGCGCAGTGCATCCTGCAAAGTGACAAGAAAATTTGTGCACAGATGTGAACGGAGTCTCTTTACCTTATTGAACTCTGGACCAGCTGACCCTGAGAACCTGTCTCATTTTTATTGGAATACTCACAAAATAAACTGCTTGGTATATTTTCTCATGAGGGTCGATTTATTTCCATTCCTCGCCGAGCTGACAAATGCGGGGAGCCATTTTTCATCTACTATTATGATTTGTGCTGGGAGATGGCTGTTTGAGCCTAAGCCGGTCGGGGAAGACGTAGGATGTTTTCCTAACCTCGGAATATAGAACCATTCTGCGGTGGTATTAACAGGCTGCGCTGAGAAGGTGATGGTAGGACGTCCAGCAGAGGGTGGTGAACATCTGGAGGAGATCAGTCCAGATGGAACATAAACACAGTGCTGACAGTATGGGCTGTACCATGTTAAGTGTTCCCAGATGTGGAACCCGCCTGTAACCTGGATTGTTTGCTTTTCCTTGGCAGCATGCAGCAGGGCAAAATGTTTTTTTTCATTGGAATAACCATGGCGCTGGTCCAGGGCGGATACGCTCGGAGAATCAAACCAGGAAATGAAGTGAAAGTTGTCAAACAGGTAATCAACACAAAAAAAAAAATCTAACAGGAAATGTTCAGGTCACCAAGCTTGCTAGGAAAAAACAACCCTTCATATTAGACTTTCTAAGGCGTCATTCACACATCCCATGAGGTCTGGCAGCAGATTGCTGTGGATGGAATCGTAGGCATATGTGCAGATACATGCCAACAGCAGTGGGGAGCTGCGGAGCCTGTCGGCCTGTCATTGCTTTATCCAGGCTTCTCCGCCTCTGTTAACATGTATCTGCACATCCAGTAGTTACCTGTGACCAGGGACAGATGGCCGTCCCTGTCCCTAGCTGCAGATAAGCGGTGGATGTGATGATATATGAATACAGCTGGGGTGCCTGTCAGCCTGTCTTTGCTTTGTACAGGTTTCCCCACTGGAGCTGTTTGCATACACCCGTGTTTCCAGCACCATGAATCTGCTGTCCAGACCTTATGAGACCTGTGAATTAGGCTTACAATTTTGGTGTATGGAAGCTCACCCTGCCCTGCAAGGGTTAAATGCTCATTTTGGTCTAGGTGCCAGGATAAAGAAGGTACTCATATGACCCTATGTCCCATGGCATTGACCTCTCCTCACTCCCCTCCGGCTGTGCAATGCCCCTCGGCGTCCTCGTGTCCAGTGCAAGTCAATGGACTAGTATTAGACATCAGGACAGCAGTGGTAGTTCGACCGCCAGAGCCCGGGGGAGAAAAAAAACTCTGTAAAACTATGACCATCTTTTGTTGTAATGCTCTGGGACCTAAACGGAAAGTATAATTGGGCTTTAACCTCATATTGATCTACAACATTCACCCCAGACTGATTGATTATGTTACTGATCCAGCCTACAAACTGTGCCAAGTATAAAAATTGGTGGTGATGCCAAATTAAATTTGGACTGTTTCCTACCCATCTATAGTGGATGATGAGATGCATAATGTAAGAGTCTGATTTAACTACTACATTTCCTGCAGGCCATGGTTCTGCTGATCCCAGCCTTCCTGCTGATTGGATGGGCAAATGGGCTCGTCATGCTGGGACTGGGGCTTCTGCTCTATTCGTTTGGTAAGTTTTTAGTTTTTTTAGTTCTGCACTAGACTTGTCTGTAAAGGTTGTCATTCATCCAGGTCATGGTGTATCTATAAAAAATAAGTCAAGGCAACTGGACTTTGAAAAATACAGCGAGTCCAGTTGCCTTGACTTATTTTTTACAGCTGGACTAGACTTGTTCTACACATTTATACCACAGCAGCATTCAAGCTCAACTCCGCCTGGCAGACTATGATGTCGGGGGAGTAAACTTTAGCAACATTATTCATTGCCTGTCTTATTTCATTTCGGTTCTATAGGCTTTTGTCAGTGTAGTTAGAATTCTACTTGTTGGGATGATTGGCCCCAGAGCAAAAACTTCCAATGACCACAGTTATAATGGGTAAAAAAAAAAGGTAGGTGCGAGTTCCCAAGGTCTACCTGTGCTGGTCACATAAGTGCTGAGCAGGCACTTCATCCGGTAGCGGACACCTTCAGGATTCTAGAGGAAGGGTCAACTTTGTCTCAAAATGCCCTCAGAGCCCCGTTATACAAATTCCATTTCCATTTGACATTGGCCCTGCCACCCCCCGTGCCTCCCTATTGTTTACTGAGGCTAATGGTCAAAAAGAATGCACAGGGATGAGATGGGCCAAGTTCTACCACTGAGCTCTCATGATGTGCTTAATGGAGGCCTAGGGGCTGACTGAGACAAAGAGAGCGAGAGAGAGTTCTTCTGACTCAATAGAGGTGCCTTCTCATGTGTCACTGCCTGCTTATTGCGTATGAGACCAGCTCAGGCTGACTTAAAGGGGGCATTCATTAAAAAAAAACTGCAGATTAATTCACCCTGTGAAACTGCATGTACATTTATTTTGTGTGAATAGAGGCAAAAATGAATGTTGGTATATTTTCTTTCCAGTTCAAATGTGAGGTCAGGAAAATCCCTCAATATGGCCACTAGATGGAGCTGTGGCTCATAGAAAACAAGTATTTCCTGTGCTCCCTGACTCCATCTAGTGGTCATTATGGTATACTTTTACACGAATCATATGAAGGAGTTCCATTTGTCTGGGACAGAAAACATACTAATAACATACATTTTTGCCCCATTCACACAGAATGAATGTGCATAATACATAAATATACCCCTAAGTGACTCCTTTGGGAGAGCAGCACTACCTCCAAAGCTATCCGTGTGGCCACCTAATGATCTTTTCTCATGCAGTGTTCGGCAGTAAATGGGCACACGAGGATCACCAGGGTCTGTTCTAGTGGAGTCAGGGAAAACATTCAGAGCAATGTTAAAAGCAATCCTTGCAAGCTCTGGACTCGGCATCCCAGGAAATACTCGGATCTGTCAGAACCAAGAAGAAAAGGGTTCTGGATTGTGCAGATCAAACCACTTATTAGAAGATTGTAATAAATGAAATACAAACTCCAACTTAGGTCAGGCAGAAAACCAGAAACGCAGCTCAGTTCTACAATATGCAGGCAATTCGTGCAGCAGACTGATGGAGATAAAACTTTGCAATTAGACTGTTAATAGCACCCCAAAATACTCCTGAGCACCTTCTAAGCAGAGACGTTGTTATCTAGGCGACCCAACAACCTGATCCTAGTCACTGTGACCCGTTAGTGCCAGGTCACTGAGCTTCAGTAGGCAGATGCAGCGCTTTTTTTCCAGATAATGCTGAAATCATTCAGACTTCATTGACCTGCTGCTGACCTGCATTTGACTTGCTTCAGTGGCTTTGGCATTCCCATAGTCCTGTAGGAGCGGAGCAATTCTGAAGCAAACAAAAGCTTGATGACACTGCGCCGAAGGATGGCGTCACTAACTGGTTTTGAGGCTGCGCCCCTTCATCTTCCTCACTCTGAAGAGCATAAACATTACAACTTTTAACCCCCCCTTGTGTGCACAAAGCTTGCCCTGTACCTTGTTCAATTTACATGGGGGGGGGGGAGGCGCCTCATTAAAATTGGAGCAATGTTTTGGATCGGACTGTTGTAACCGGGAGGGACACACAGAGAAGTTGGCCAAACACAGGGATAAGGTCGTAACTGGCTTATACTTCCCTTCTCGCCTCTCCCTTGCCACGGGTTGTTTGCCCACAAGTTTGCCATGTGGTAGCTCTAGGAGGAGGCCATGTGACAACGCTGGAGGCCTAAGTGGCCAATCATTAGTGATGCCATGTCAGGATGGAGCAGAGTCCCTGGAAGTAATTAGTGTTTTCCTTACCCTCTGGTGCCACCAGTATGAAGATAAGGGAGGTAGAAGTGGCTGCTGGGGCTACCGTTCCAGTGAATATGTTGCTTTCTGCTGTACAGGTTTACTACAAGTTATCCCAATCTTTGTGTTCATGTTTTACAAACCTTGTTTCTGTGTACAGTTTGTAATCATATGTAATATAAGGTTGTATTTGTTAAGTACAAGTGCAAGCTTTGCTTTCTGATTTACCTTGCCGATCCCCTCCTATCTCATTGATTCAAACCAATAGACTCTCCTAGAGTCTCTAATTACATGAAATATCCGGAGGCCATGTGATCCAGACTGCTTAGATCATCGGTAGCCAAACTCCGGCCCTCCAGCTGTGGTGAAACTACAAATCCCATGAAGCATCTCTCCCCCGGAGTCATGTCTGTGCTTGTTAGAATCTTGCAATGGCTCATGGGATTTGTAGTTCCACCACAGCTGGAGGGCTGAAGTTTGTCTACCCCTGGCTTAGATTTTAGGTCAAATGAAACTGCTCACAAGCTGCAGATATTTATTCATAGCAAACCGGCTTATTTTGCTCATAATACACATTTTTAGAAAATAAAAAAAACAAAGGATACTTCTGTTTGAGGTATTTGAGGTGTGAATGTTATTACATTGTAAAATGAACGAATCATATGAATGTATATGAGAAAAAAATAGATTCCCGTTGCTGGTCTCACGCTATTATCATACAGTTTATTCTGCTGGCATAGTAAATGACTTTGGAAGACGGCCACTTGTAGACGCCCCACCCGGCTAATTTCAGCAATATGCCTGAACACCATTTTTCCCTCTTCCATTGTGTTCTCACGTTGGTATTTGATGTGCTGTTGTTTATATGAAAGCATTATGCTGTCATGTATCCGTCTTATTCCAGCCTGAGTTATATGACAGTTCTGACCTGACAGCTCTTCCGAGGTGTTGTCATGCCCTGTCCTCATTGTCTCCAGCAGGGGGCACCCTGAGCTGCGTTGTCCGTCCTTGTGTATCTCATGCTGTAAAATCCCTAATGTTTTTTGGATTCCTTTTATTACCGGGAAATCCTGTAGAGATCTGTCATGACGCGGTCATACAGTACTTAATAACACATTAACACATACGGAAGTTATAGAACATGACGCAGGACCGGGCTGAAACCATCACAGCCAAGGAATTTGCTTCCTCTTATGCCAGCACTGTGATTGTTTACTTTCTAACATCTGTCAGAGCGCTCATGGCATGCAAAGCCCAGCAGCCAACTGGAAATTATTTAACCGGGATGAGTAAAGTAAACTGAAATCTGATTGGCTGCGTTTGGGTTTGGGCAGAATCAGTGCACTTCTCCTAATAAAATATGTCATCCTGTGATAGATTGCCCTGTGATATTTGGTTGTCTCGTGGACTCGTTTCTAGTTTAGATCGGTCTGATAATTGCTTTTCTCTTTTAGCTGCAGCCATTGTTGTGCCGTGTTTATCCTCAATGGTGTCAACATATGGTAAGTACTTTTACAACACTACTATATGGTAAAAAGTGTGTGCTCCCCCCCCCCCGACTTATTGACTTTGGGTGTTTCGAGTGAAGGGCACTGTTAATGATACAGCATACAAAGATATTTTAGACAATTGTGCACTTTCACCTTATGGCAATAGTTTGGGGAAAGCTCTTTTCTCTTCCAGCATGACTGTGACGCTGTGCACAACCAGCAGCTCTATAAAGATACAATTTCATGAGTTTGTTGTAGAAGATCTCAAGTGGCCTGCACAGAGCTCTTACCTGAACCGTACTGAACACATTTGGGATGAATTAAAACACCATTTGTGAGCCCAGTTTTCTCATCAACATCGGATTCTTATCAGAACATACTCAGATACTCCAGGTCTGGTCCTTGTCTGGTCCTGGAGTCGATGAGTCAGTTCCACAGACATTTTCTGAAGGTTCAAGATCTACCTGAAGCTCTGTAAGATGCATTTCCCTTCTTGGCCTGCCTCCTGTTAAGGACGTAGTTGGCAAGGGCTAAGTACACCATGATGGGCATCCCCCGAGGGCACAACAGGGCCAACGCTGGAGCCGGCACTATGGTGACCACTTAAGGTGCAGAAGATCGACCAAATTGCAAGGCAATGACAGATCTGGTTGAGTCCATCCCTAATGTTTGGCTTGGTATGCAAACATTCAAGGCCTTGAGGCTCAAGATAGAGTGAATGCCTCCTTTTGGGTTTTGGAACATTGGAAATGTTGGAGTAAAACCCCTGAAACTGTTCCTCAGCAGGGACCAGGGCTAGAAAACCTTGGTCCAAAAGGCCTGAGAGGGCCTGATGGAGATCTGCCAGTCTGCGAGGAGACACAGGAAAGTATGAAGTGAGCAAACAAGGAGGGATAGGGACTGAAACTTGAGTTTTTAGCTGTGGAACACCACCTCTTGCATCCAGACATCTAGGATGCAACATGACCAAGCTTACGCAAAGGTCAACAGATGTAGGGAGGGCACCTTCATTGTGAAGAAGACTTGTATGAAGCTTTGGCAGACTTGTAATGCCAGACTTTGGCGGTGACCAGGGGATCAAGCTTTGAGGGAGTGGAGAAACGAAATGGACACTTCTTGACATTTAGAGAGGGAGATGATTTAGCAGTTTGCTCTTTAGTATTCTGGTATTGTTTAGAGTCACGCAGATGCTCTGTGGTCAATGGCTCAGAAGCCTCTAAGGAAACAGATACAGAATCTGCTGGAGAGGGAGCGGGAGCACACTTGTGACCTCTGTAATCAGAGTCAGAATATAACTTAGTAATCTGGGTCATATAGTCCGGCATCACTGTAGTGAAAACCTCAGCCAAAAGGGCAGAGGACCAAGCCCCCAATGCAGCCAAGGAGGATGCCGAAGAGGGAACAGACTCTAACAGCAGAGTACAAGAGTACAGCATGACTCCAGGCTTCAGATGTCATTAGGCATGCTGCAAGCAACCCCTGACCTATTGGTAGAAAGTATGCTGGGGGCACCCAGTACAGCAGGACTGTCCCCCCCATGTCTAGAATAGGACATGTTGCAGTGCAGCACAACAAGGCCTCACAAAACTAGGACAGCGGATAGCAGGTGAGGGTATGCTTCCTCAATGCTGTATGGCGAGAAAGAGAGTGCCAAGTGTGAGCATGATACTCTACCCAGCTGAATGACGTCTGTGCTCTGTCTCACAGTGTTAACCCCTTCCACAGCAAAGATGGTGGAAATCGGAGAATAATGGCCCCCAGCAACTTTTATATGATTGTCCCTAATAAAATAAGGGAGCTCCAGGGCCTCGTGCAGATGGGGCCTACTTGCTAAAGTAGGAAAACGAACGTTTGTAGGAAAGAGCACGTCGGAACCTTCAATAATACATTCAAGGACTTGGTGATTGTCGTTTGACGTTTCGTTTGATTTTCATTATTTAACGTTCGATGTTTGAAATGAATGGAAATGAATGAAAGCCACATTCACTGTGAGAATTTCCTTTGATTGAGAAACATTTTCCAACATGCCCCTTTAAATTTCTTCTTCACTGCGGTCGAAATTGATCATCGATTTGGTCACATCCACGATTAGAAAGTTGATTGAACGTTCCGAAATCAATTTGGTTTGCAGAGAGGCAATTGTAGCGGTTCTGTACTTGGAAAGGAATTCACAGCCAATTTAATCAGAACGCATTTGAGAAAGTACCCCTATGAAACACGGGGCCTGAAGACCACTTCCAGGTTCACCCTCCCAACGTCAAGTCCAATGGGGTCTGGGTGCGGTCCATTAGCCAGGCTGAGGACAACCACATCAGATAGCTGCAAATCCAAGAAGAATCCTCCAGTAACAGTATAGTGAAGAGTCTTTACTGAAGAACAAAGGGCTATAAAAATGACAGGCAAGTCTTAAAAGGAACCGAGCTTAGGAAAATAGATCTATCTTCTTAGGACGCCAGCAAAATTGAGGCATGATGGTTAGTAGTAGGGGTTATACCCTGGGCTGGCCTACAGTTTTTTTGTTTGCCAGTGTCCAAGTCTCCTGTAGTTGGCAGTATAACCTGAAGGCTTAAGACTTCCTGTGTCCCTCAATGTACGAGAAATAAAATTATATTATAGATATAATCGTATAGCTTTATAAATTTTAGCATGCCCTCAGAGCCAATATATCTCACTGCATGCTGGGAATTTTAGTTCCTCAGCACCCAGCGAGCTGATAGACAGCCATACCTGGGCACCAGTGTGAGATCCATCCTGTGATGGTTTATTAATGGTTTTTGCACATACTCTAGGGCAATTTTGGTTAGATGGCAGTTCATTTTCTGGGATGAACCCTACACCAATACGGGGAGGACAGATGGTGGCCTGGTGGGATTTGGTCCTCAAACTCTGCTAAGGTGAGAGTGCTAACCATCGTACGGCCCGATTATCACTATGTATGCAGTGTGTAATGCAGTCTCAAGGCCGCCTCTCCCATCTGGTAGTAAGAAGCCTCCTTGCTGCACTCGGCTCAGTCTGTATTGATGAATAGATGCTATTTATGGAGCCTGTGGCTTTTCATGATGTACCTTTTTGTCTGATTTTCCTTTTGTTGGCGGGGAGAGAGAATGTGAAGAGAGGATTATTGTGCCCTCCAAATACAGATAACCTCTCCCTGCTTTATCACATTGATTTCTGAAGTGACATTGTCATATTTACTGTTCATTCTTGTATACAATACTGACATATTCTCATTGCTTCACAGAACTCATTTATCTATTCCCATCAGTCTCTGATCCCCAGGAACTTACAGTCTAGTGCCCAACCACAGTCACAGAGACACCTATTAGAGTCTATGTAGGTTGGAAGCATACCCTGTATTATGTTAGAGTTGTGCCAGGAAAACGAGCCACATGGAGGAAACCCACATAAGAGGACATGGGGGAGAACATCAAACTAACTCCTTGCAGTTAGCCACTCTGGGGGGAATTGAATCCCGGACCCCAGTACAGCTAGAAGGCTTATTCACCACTATGCTCAGGCATTAATAATACAATAATGCAACCTGCACACAAATTAGACTTACTGTATTTATGACTTTGTAAAAGCTGTAGTATGATTTTAACATGTAGTGTTGGTAAAATGTAAATGATAGTGAAGCCACATCCAACTGCACATTTTGGGCTACTTTACAGGGCCATGGTTTTCTTGCATATGATGGGTACAGGGCTGCAAACTTGACATTAATGGAGCATTACACATGAAAGTTCAGAGGCTGCATTGGACCTGCTTTGCGTTGTGCTGTGTTATTTTGGATGCAACATGTCCTCTTGAGGTGTATTTGGACTGCAGCCAAATGTATCAACTAGAGTGGTCACAACATACTTCAGTGTTCATAGCCCTGGAGCCTCAAGAGGGTATCCTGCCTCACTCCTTACCGGACAACCCCTAGGGAGATGGTTGCTGAAGTGACTGCGGATGGCACGGCTTGGATCAGAATAGAAACAAGATGTCACCAGCACACAGCAGGAATGGGTCCAAAAGCACGCGCAATGTTTTGGGGCCAAGTAGGGGTCCCTGTAGGGATGTTCAGATACCAGTGCTGATACTTGGCATTTCACAAGAACTACCAGGGTTGCAGCGGTTGCAGCTGGGACCTGGATCTTGCGCTCCACCACTGCCCTGAAATAATTAGTCTGTATTGTTTTAGAAAAACTGTCACATGACAATAAACAAAAATGTATCAGTACTTGTGTCTGTGAGGACTTGGGCGAGTATCAGTACTTGCAAAATGGTATCGGTACATCCCTAATGTACACTATATTATCGGAACTAAGGGGCCAAGCCCAACCCCTGAAAAACAACCCCACACCATAATCCCCCCTCCACCAAACTTTACACTTGGCACCTGAATCCAATGAGTATCGGTACTTGGTATCTAAACATCCCTAGTTCCCTTCATCAGGCTCTATCTTCATTGTGCTCTATCTGTGACCAAATGCATAAATAAAAAGATGTTCTTTTGGGCACATTCCTGCTGTCTGCTGGCTGGTGACCTCTTGTTTCTACTCTAGCCCTTGTGCCTAACATGCAGCCCATTGTAGGTCAGGCCTCAAATCAGGTCTGCAGCATAGCATGATGTGCACTAAATGCCACTGGGCATTAATGATGCAGTCACAGCTACAGCCACAATTCAGCACTAAACCAGCAGCTGGATAGATCAGCAGTTGGGCTTTTGCTTCACAGGAGTAGCAGAGCAGCGGTGACTAAATCAATTAAAGAAATCCCCTCTGCCCATTAATCTCCAGCTCCCAAAAAAACTTGCAATAGGCTGCAGGACCTCTCTGCAGCCTAAACTGCAGTGAAACAGTACAGCCTTGTCCAGGGCCCACCACAGCCTGTGATTGGACATTGAGGGAGCAGCTGTGCAACACACTGATGGCATCATCCCTATACTCTCCCCCCTTATTTACTATGTTAGACTGACAGCACTGTGCAAAGCAATACTGTTCCGATTGGCTCAGTGCGCTGTCACTCTGCCAGTCTGAGTGCTTCTGTGCAAAGGATTACAGGAAGCTGATGGCAAGAATGAGGTATTCATACGAGCTGCGTTTTCAAATAAGTGTAAAGATTTTAGTGAACACAGAAGTGTATGAAATGCTTGTGCCCTGCTATAAAGGCCGGTTATAGATTCATGCATGTACCATTTTTTCTAGTTTGACCATTTTGGGTTAGGGGGACGCACTGGAGTCCCAGCGTGCATTTTTGGTTGCTGGGCCTCCAGTGCGTCCCTGCACCTTACTAGGAGGAGTTGGCTACCTCCAGGTACACCTGCATGTAATTTATCAACTTCATTAATATGCTCACACTTGGAGACTCGGATACATAGAGTTAGGACCACACTTTGCAGAGGTGCCTTGGCGCGGCAGTGTGGCTTCTACATATTTTTGGCCAAAAGTTTGTGCAACTAAAACCTCTGATTTTAACGCATACTGTTGACAGGGTTACTTGTTTGGTTGCAGGCTGGCTGGCAGGTTGAGTCTGGGGAATTTTTGTGTTTTGTATTGTGTTTCATACCGGCCTGGAATTCATCTTTAAATAATTCTCCGAATCATCCGCTTGGACATGTGCCGTTAAATTGTAAATTATTGTAAGCGATTATGCGCTTGCTTTCTGTGCGACAGATTCATTATACAAAACTTGGTAGATTTGTGTTTATAAATGTAAAAAAATAAAGAAACGGTACAAGGGGAAAAAGAATAAAAATAATTGTATTAGTTTCTGCAGTCAGTATGATGAATGTTCCTCTTCTGTCGCTCCTCTGCAGGTTCGGCCAGTCAGAAGGGCACGGTGATGGGCATTCTGCGCAGTCTGGGCGCTCTAGCCCGAGCGGTGGGACCCGTCTTAGCGGCCACATGTGAGTGTCTCTAATGGCGGGATGATTAGATGATGTATTTGTCGGAATTCCCTGCTGTTTGTTATGTCAGTAACACTTTAGGTGTGTCAGTGCTGGAGACGGTCCAGGAGAATACAAATCAGGAAACAGCCTGTGAAGTCCCCGAAGAGTCTTCAAACTTTGATTTGTGTACATTGAATGCTCCACACCGCACCCTGCTGAGAAAATGTCATTCTCTTTATAGCATCCACATGGATCAGATATTAAAAGTATTCATATCTGTGAAATCCGTGTAGTCAGATGTCATTATATGCATGCTTGTTTCAGGTAAGGGATGCAAAGAGGGGAACCATGGCAGCCAGGAAACTGGCATCTTCAGAATGAGATCTCGCAATGGCAGCCCCCATGTCTCTTCCACCGATGTGTGTTGTCCAGTATTTGACTCTGATCAGAACTTTTATCTTCCTTACAGTGTACTGGGTGGCTGGTGCTGAATTCTGCTTCACCGTCTGTTCAGTGTCCTTTCTGGTCCCGCTGCTGTGTTTGAGGAGGGTGACCTCACTGGGAAAGGCAGAGTGATGAGGTGACATCACAGGGATAAGGCGGAGTGACATCACACAGAAAGGAGGAGTGATGGAGTGACTTCACAAGGAAAGGTGGAGTGACAGGACCCAGCGTCGGGGGACTGATGGCTTCACACTATGTAATGGGAACATTTGATGCCTTATTTTTCTTTCTTTCAATGCTTTTAATGCCAAGTTCTGTCTGATGAGGTTACATTTCCGTCTGGACTATTTTACTATTGTTTGCATTCCTCTCCAATTATTCTAAATGGGTATTTCATCTGTATCAGGACATCAGTCTGAATGGATGCTGCCCAGCATGTTCTGATTATACTGTTAGACAAAGTGCACTTATTCTTTTTGCCCCCTCCCCAGACCTAAACAATCCCCCCCTCTCCCACCACAGATCTATGCTTGCCAAGATCCGAGGCCCGCTGCTACGGTTTGTTACAAGTCTCCCTACCCTGGCCCAGTCCTTCTCCCAGCATGGAGACAATCCCATAAAAGCCTACAGGGTTGTAATGTGCAGGTTCTGACAGCAGAGGGAGCATTGCAGTGCTGGATGTTCACAAAAGCTGAGTCATGCCCGTTGGATCTCGGTAAGAACAGTTTTGCAGAGGGTGGGATCGTTTAGGTCAGGGGTGGGGACTATAACGAGAAGTGCACTTACCCTTGAAATAACTAACTGTGCTTGTTTGTTTTATCGTGAGACCGTTTCAAAGGAAACCTTTCCTGAGACAAGCATAGAGGTCGTCATTTCTAGTTGCCTGTCTGTCACGCAAGGGGGAGTCCTCAAACAGACAGGAATCATAAGGACGGGCAATGGCCAGAGAAATCTCATTGGGCTGTTTTTTATATGGAGGTGAAGGTGAATAACATTTGCACTGTATATAGATAATGTTCACAGACTGCACTGTTACTGACAGAACTGCACACAGCTGTACATAGCCTTACACTGATGATGGAGCAGATACTGAGCCATGTAGGGGCTGGTTTAAGATCTCTGTAGGCTTTTGATGTTCAAGAGGACAGATGATATCACCCAGCCTAGCCTTGTATTTACAGTACATTACAATGCAGCCACATGTGTCACCGGCCACCTCATCCACTCCACTGCACTCCATTCTTCAGTCTTACAATAAATCATGGCTTCCATGTCCAGTAGACGAGGATCTCTGGACATGAATAGAGTGCAGGATTCTGAGCCTGTTATCTGATTGATGTATAAATCCCAAAACCACTTGATGATCCTGGCTCTGGCCTTGCATGGCTAAATGGTCCGTCTACCTAAAGCTTTGTATTTGAATATTACCCACGGAACACTTATATCATTCAGGGGCCGAGTTTTAGCGATTTCTGCACTTAAGTTCCCAGAATCTCTCACCTGGAGGGTTGCAGAGCTGTGACATGGAAGTCCTGGCACATTGAAGGTGGGTGGTTCTACAACTTGAGTATTGTGTGGACTGACTTTTTATCACACAAGCAATAAGTGACTCTATGGACAGACCGTCCTCGGGATGTAAAAATCTGCTTAGGATAGAGGATAGATAACCCCATTATGCAGATAGCCCCATCATCCTCCTCCTCCTCCTCCTCCACCACATTCATTTTGAGGTATATGTAGACAAACCCATCAAGCTAGTGTCCATTCTGGCCAGTGTCAGACCAGGAGGGGTTTACTGCATGAAGCTGCTTTTCTTCTCTATGGCCAGAACCAGCAGATCTGTAATATTATATTAGAAGCTGGAGGTGCCACCCAATGTAAGCTGTATACCTGAACACCGGCATGATGAATTGGTCTGCCCTTAATCTGATGAGGAAACTGAAGACATGTAGATTTTTATTTTTTTATGAAACTGCACTAATCAAACTCAACTTGTTACTTTTACCATTTAGGACAAACTAACGTTTTTACCTTGTTGGGCATATGCTCATCAGTGGACACATGTGCTGTATTTGGCTTTCCAGATTACAGTATCCTTTCACGTATGCACTGAGCAGGGAAACATGGCCGAATGGACACGCTACCCTAACTTTCCAGTTTATAGTGTGAATGTGTGTAATCTCTGTACATTGCATGAGTTGCTGATCTTTACCAAAGATGAATGAGTCTTATTTATCAAATTGTGGGAATGAAGAACTGGACCTGGTCCATGCAGGACCAATCAAATTCTCTCCTCACTGTTACTACACTGTGCAGGGAGAATACAAGGGAGGCAAGAACAAGAATAATCATTCTTCCTTTTGGACAATTATATATATATATATATATACCTTTTGTATATTGTCTGCAGACCCAGCAAGTAAACAGGCAGAAGGGAAGGTACAACGTTTTGTTGGTGTAACTATATACTGTTCCTAGGGAACGTGATACAGAATAGTGTTTGCTGATGCTAATCAAAGTGGGAATAATGAACTATGCTCATTTGTGAGATGATTGTGTGTTGTTGGATGTAGTTATTGAGTGCCGTGCTACATGACGGGGTGACTAGATCTATATTTAACATGCATGTGACTTAGGGCCACACAGGTTGCCTTCTCTAAGGTGCTTTAAATGCACCTTTTAAAGACCATTCTACCCAAAGTGATAGGTTAGTGTATGTAAAGACAAAACTTTTTTCTTTATCGTCCGTTGAGGAACACAGCTTAGAAGAATTCTGAAATGTCTACTCCCCTAGAGGCAGCGGCATAACCCTGCATATCAGATTCTTCAGAGCTGTGTCCCTCAATGGGCTCTGAGAAAAGGATTATAGGGCAAAAACAAAATACATGTTTTTTTTGGTTTTGGTTGGAGTGATTGTGTGTTAAAACCCTTTTTATTGCTGTCTGTGACATTCCCCCTCACTTTTGGTCTTGGTGACCATTGTCTCCAGTTAGAGAAAGTAATGGAAAATCCCAAATTTTATGACAGGAACAGAAGCGGAGGGGAAATCTTCCTATGAGGACACCTGTTGGAAATATTTATTTTTGGGGCAGAAAATGAAGGTGAATGTTCCCGGATGGGGACTCTACCATTCTCTATTCTATCATTTTGTATATGAAGAGATGATTGGTACACTGGATTTTGTACATAGGACATTTATGGTACTCGGAGTTTGAGCTTCAACCAGAAGCTAGTTGACCTGAGGTTGTACTGGACCTCCCACAGAATAACGGTTCCCTCTTAGATGTGTACATGGGCTGAAGGCATATTAGTCTAGAGCTACATGGTGACTTTTAGCAGCAATCATTCTATAAACAAATGGAATGACTGGATCCCTATTATTTGAGCTTCATGTGTATCCCTTATTAATCTTGTGTGATTTGCATAATGCTCGAGTTGTGCAAGATGGGTCGCTGCAACATGCCATTTGTGTACCCCCCCCCCCCCAGCCATAGGGAAGTTTTTTGAGTGACTTGTGATTCAGTTTTTTGTCGAAAGACATAAAATGGTGTCCTTGAGATCAGCTGCAAGGAGATGGAATAGAAATTGTCTTAGTCAAAAATCTGATTGTTTTCAAAGAAGTAGCCCTAGTTTTTCTGGTTTTGTAGTCCAGTTTGAGCAATCAAATAGAGGTGATCATTGCACTCCCAAGTGGTGAATTGTTTGGTTTCAGGGGACCACTCTCGACCCAGGTCGCTTGAAAGTGGTTGGAATTGCCTGAAATTTACCACACGTATGGTCTGATGAACCAGTTGTGATTTTAGTAGTATGTTCAAGATAGTAGAGATCGTATTCATAGCTCCAGTCTGAAGCTGGCCAGAGGCTGGGGGTATAATTGGAGCACTGTGTGGCTTTGTCAGGGGAACCCCCCCCCAGTTAATACAAAATGCCTCCATCCTATGTTTTTGGCATGGATGGAGGGATTCCCCTTCCCTCGGGCGTTTCTTTTTTCATTAAGCCCCCCCATGGGGCGGAACAAGAATAAAGATACATATTGCTTGACCAGCTTTAAGCCCAACTCCAGGGATGATTGCCTTGCACTGGGCCTGGCCCTGCACTACCGGGGTGCTGGTTTATGCCCGGGGGGCCTGATCCTCGCTCCCATTAGCTCTAGACTGGTCCCCACAGCTTTCTTCTCCCCCTTTGCTCTGGTGGTCTGGAGTTGGGTATACACGGTTAGAATTTCAAACAAAATCTATTTTGGAATGTTCATTTGCCTTTCTAATCACTGCTGCAATGACATTAATCGATTCTGACCGCAGTGATGAAAACATTAGAAGAAACATGTTGGAAATGTTTTCTCGATGAAACGACAGTCTAACAGTGAATGTGGTTGTCGTTCAGAAAACTCCATTAATTCCAAAACTAAATGTTAAAGATTAGAATCAAATGAAATTTCGAATGACAATCACCAAAGCTTCTGATGGGATTATGGAACATTCATGTGAAAGTCTACCAGTGCATACCCTACTGCAGGACTGCTGACGGCATCGAGTACAGTACAGTCTCCATAGACCTGCATTGAACATAAGGACACCGAGGGACAGAGCACAGCCAGGGCATAGTGGAAAGTCCCGACTACAGGCTTACATTTCTTGTCCACTAGCAGTAAACGTTTCATCTCTTTGGAGTTGGGCTTTAAGTTATAAAGCAGTTTTATCAGAAGGCTAACAATCTATGAGTGCCGGAGGGTTTTCTCCACTGCTTGTTGTAATGAAAAGCTTTATGTGACCCCGGGAACCGCAGAGCTGCCCTAAAGCTTTTCCTTTGAATTCTGCAAACATGCCATCGTACTGGAGGTGTCCTAATATAGAGAAGTGGCTCGCGCAGTCACATTAGACTCCTTATATTTAGGAACCTTCCTCTTACTTTGTGTCTAATCTCTGTAGGAAACCCTTTCCTTTATCTCCCTGGATCTATCAACATGGGGTACCCAGTGCAACCAATCAGAATGTTCCTTTCATGCACAAAAGTCATACAAGGGAAGCGCTGACTGACGGCTCACTGTCATCAGCCCCAATCTCGTAGATCTGGTCCTACATGGGACACAATACGTTCTCAATTCTTTTCACATTCCAGCATTTCATTAACGTTCCAGAAAGTTTACGTTCTTGCCCAATACTTACAATGTGTACAGAGGACACGGCTGACTCTA